AGGCCTCTCTCATCTTTTTAAGTGGGAGAACTTGCACAATTGGTGTCTGACTAAATACTTTTTTGCCCCACTGTATAGACTAGTGCTTTGTTTATCTGATAAAGTGAAGAATAGTCTTTGTTTATATTGTATAACACTTGTGGATGACTTTAATACATCAAACCACAAACAAGCAAACCACATTATGTCTTAACACAATGTGAGAATCCAGCCAGTGTCAGGTCCTTACCCGCATGTCAAATTTTGTTATGAAGCCCTTCTCCTCCTTGTCACAGAGCCGGAAGAGCTCTTGGGCTTTCTCTAGCATTTCCACCTGCATGTTTTCCCCACCATTCAAGCAGAGAAGGGGAGAAGGAAGTGAAAGGGGGCAAGAGACACCTTCAGTCATTCCATTTACTTCCTTGTCTTCCCAACAGAGAGTTTTAGAAAGTTCTTTCCCAGATCTTTCCATTGCTTCACAATTTTTTCCTTGGTAGTGCCTCTCACTGGAATGAAAAAGCATTGGGAAAAAAAGTTGAATTTAATTACTTTTCTCCTTGAAGTACTGAATGAGAGACTTCCAAACCTGTTCTGCAATGAAACTAACTATTGAGAACAACCATTTATATTACTGAAAAACAGGGAAGGGAAAGTAATATTCACAGTAACAGCGAGTTAAACATGCAGCTTTCCTGCTGAAATCTCCATCTCAAAAGCAAAACGTAGCTTGCACATGCTTTGGAGGAAGAGAATGAGTGCTCTTGAACATTACAGACAGAAGTATATCCTACTCTCCTTGTCTATGTTATTGTTAAAGCAAATGTAATCAAGATGAAATCACATCAAATTAGAAGAAGATAGTATAGAAGAGAGAGATGCCATTATTCTAGACTTTAATCTTTGAAAGTCTTTTGTGTTGTGCTGCCACTGGTTTAGATTCAAGAAAATTCAGGTTTTGCTTCCTATAGCTGCAATCAACTTCTAAGTTGTTGGAAGCTGCTTATAACTTACTTCCATTAACTATTTAGGACACAAAAGCACAGGCTGAGGCTACAACCTTGATAAAAATTTTGTTGTTCAGTCGTTAAGTTGTGTCTGACTCTTCGTGACCCCATGAACTATATTGCGCCA